ACAGCAAAGCTGTCTGAAGTCAGTAATGCAGCTGTCTGTGCTGTGTTGACTGAGCTGTGCCTCCTGTATGCGCTGTATGGGATCAGTAAGAATGCAGGGGATTTTCTGCAGGTTGGTGTCTTTCTCCAGTACTCTTCAGTCTCTAGAGCCAGAGTTCTTGTTCACAAAGATGCTTCAAATGCAGAGCTGCACAAATGGTTAGGCCTAATGTTTTGACTGCTCACTTAAGTAAGGTCAGTAGCAATGCAGTTCTGATGGAAGGCTCTTATGAGGTTTCCCTTGTTTTCCGACAGAAGTAGAGTTGGATGATAAATGGTAACTGTGCCAGGCATCTTCTCATGCTTGTACCCTGTGACAAATCGCCACTGGGGTCAGGGGGGAATCTTGCATCTGAAGAACCACTGGATTTTTGGGTGGGGGAAGGCTAACTTATGCTCTCAGGGGGGAAGGTTCTTGTCACTTGCATACTGGTGTGATAATCTGGTCGATTGGCCTGTTTGTTTTCTTTTTCCAAGGCGGGTATTTTGACAGACACCCAGATTACTCAGGTGAACCAGCGTGTGAAGGAGCTCCTGGCTGTGATTCGTCCCAATGCAGTAGCACTGGTAGACTCCTTTGACTTCCACGATGTTCATCTTGCATCTGTGCTTGGCCGGTATGATGGCAATGTGTATGAGAACATGTTTGAGTGGGCAAAGAAATCCCCACTCAATAAAACAGAGGTAAGGAAACCTTATTTATTCTTAGGTTATGTGTGTCCAGCAAATAACTCAATTTAGAGTTGTTAATTTTGCTCTAGTTATTCATCTCAGGGTGGGGAGGTGCCGAAATCACTGGTGTTAGTGGACCAAAAGTAGTTAACCTGCTTCAGGTCCTCTGCTTTCAGCATACTTTGTAGCTACACTCCCACCTGTACCTCACATGCAGTCCTGCAGGATGCTTTTGAGCTCCTCAGTTGCATGTGGGAATCATGCTCTGCCTAGAGACCCTACTGGGTAATGTAATGGAATTTAAAAACGCTTGTCACTTGCTCTTAATTCTGTTTAATGACAATAACTGTGGAAGCCTACCTCTTATCTGGCAAATCTTCCAGTGCCTCGAGGCAGCAGCAGTGACTGTGGAAGGAAATCTGTTCCCTTGTAGTGCTTTGAAGATGGCAGGTGCAAAGGCTGTAGCTCAACTGTGGCTAATAAAAGAAACTAAACTGGTTAAGAGTCAATGTCCCTCTTCCATCAGTCAGAACAGAACTGTAAATCCTGTCATAGTGGTCTTTACTGACCTTATTTAAGAGCTGTCTGTGTGGCTATAAAATAGCTTGCATTTTTTCCCTTCTTCCAAACAAAGTGGTGGAGAAACATTTGTTTTGAGCCTATATTCTCATCGTTTGCCATTCAGGCACCCAAGTGCTCATCCCAAAGGACTCAGGTGGCTGTTCTAAGTCCTCAGAGTGCCTCTGATTCAGAATTAGCTTCACACATCTTGAAAAAAGTGTTTCGAAGTGTGGGCCTGGTCTTGCTGTAACCTCTCTCTTGCCTTCTTTACAGGTTCACGAGTCCTTCCACAAACACCTGAAGCCAATGCAATCCAAGCTGTGAAGCCTGCTGTCTTTTTAAAATGCACAATTTTCTTGCCCTGAAAACTGGATGTTTGTGTCCTCTCTTCAGGCACCTGAATCAAACCTTTCAAATCCTGGTAGCTGTAGGACAGTGAATAATTATAGCCTTTCTTTTCACTTTTATAAATGGAGGAAGTGTTTGGGGAGAGTGCCTAGGGATTGATGCCTGTTTTTAAAGTGCAATTATAATGGTAAAATTAACCTTTTAAAATCTGGAAAAGCTTTATGAAGTCATGAAGAGTTGCTTTTGTGAAGCTGATAGGTGGAGAAGTTACTGTCAACTGGAGGAGTAGCAGAATTTTACTACTGAGTAGTTAACAGCCCTCAGGCAGTAGCTTGGAGTGAGCAGTTGTTTTCCCCACCCCTAAAAGCATCCACGTCCTGGTGCTTTTTTTCCCCAAGATTAGCACCAGCTCTCCTTGTTTCACAATTGTTTATGCTGTCTAAAGCCTCCTGCATGGTTTTGTGCACAGAAACTCTGCCTGTAGCATTACTTACCTAATGCAGCTGGGAAGTAATGAGTATCCTTGTCGGGAGTTGTGCTTCAGTTTTCCTTCCAGAAAACATCTCCATGTTTTCCAGTACATCCTTCTTTCACTGCCCTGCAGAAGCTCCCTTTGTGCCAGCACTGTCACCTTAGGCTTTGTTAGCAGGAAGTAAAAGGAGAGGACAGTGATGCTGCTCTGAGGACAAAACAAGTAGTAATAATCAGCTAGGTGCTGATAATAGACTGTTCTGCCCTTTTAACTGTTAATATTTTCACGATGCTATCTCAAAGCACTTTACAAATGTTAATTATGCTGATTGATGTGAGGAAAAAAAACCACATGTCATAGGAGAAACTGCAAATCTGATAGGGAACAATGAAGCCAGTGTTCGAGGGCAGAAACTGGTTGGCCAGAGTCCTGGGGTCTTCAGATTGTCCTGGGATGTTCTGGTTTTTAAAGGCATTCTTCAAGAAAGCAACAATCCCAGCTGTAGAGTCCAGGTCTTTTCCCCACTCATGCATTTCCAAGAAGCTGTCTCTGATTTGCTTTGTGTTTTAAGAGTTGACTTACGACTTGCACAGCGCTGTTGGAATTAACAGATCATTTAGTTTTAGCAGAACCTCCCGGTGCCCAATGAAATCAGTGCAATGAGCAAAATTACTGCTTTTCAACGTCAAGAACTCTGTTCAGCGACAATAAAACCTTTCTCCTCTGCAGATCAGAGAAACTCTGAGCTTAACATGGCAAAAAAAATCCCCACAAAACCACCCAAAACTTCAGCATGAACCTGCAGTTCGGAGGCAAGGTGTGGGAAGCTGATTCTCTGAACTTTGGTATCGCTCACTAATCTTCCATCATTTCTCCTGGAGAAGTGCTCTGTGGTACTAACAATCATTAGTCAGGATCTTTAGCACCGTGCACAGCAGCTCAACAGAAAGAGAAACGCTTCATTTTAATTTTTATTTCATTTAAAGCAAACACGCCTTAGGAATCTTTTGGGTTGAATGAAACTGCTGCTGTTCAGGTTACCAAATGGTTTTGCCTTCTGCTTATCCAGGTGAGCAGATTGACCTGGGGAGGGATGATGGAGGAGCAGGGAAAGGTTGAAGATTTGTTAATGAGAACAGTGCTAGCTCCATGTGTACAGATGTAATAAATGACAAACACAAAGTGTGTTCACACAGTAAGTCTTTTTCTTTTGACTCCCCTCCGTTCCCTTCGGTGGATCATCTTTAAAATAAGAGGTGAATTAGAATGAGTTGCTCCAAAGATGACCTTTGCAGAGGATCGTGCTGCTCTCAGGCAGTTGCATGAGGAAATGTAAGGCTTCTCTTTGCCTGCCATAGAATTCCTACAAGAACCCACCTTAAATTAGCTGGATTTTGTCTTGCCTCTCACGCTGATCACAAGTACAGAAAGAATAAAACTGAGAGCAAAACTGCACATGATGCATTACTTGGTCATTATTGCTGATGGGCCAGCAAGCTGCTCACTGCCAATGCAGAGACTTTATATTGTTTGGCAGCAAGAACTTTGTTCTACCAATTGTTTCCTACTGTTTTTTGGAGTAGATGGTGATGTAGCAGCACTGTGCTGTGCATGGCCATGGGTGAGCATGTTGTATCCTTGTCAGCTTGTTGCTGCTCAGTGCCACTACTTGAATGGCACGGCCTGCTGTCCTTGCCTTGTCTGCTCTCCGCAGGGCATTTCTGCTCTGCCACGTGGCCCTGCATCCTGATTAGGACTCCCCATCCTTTAACAAACTGCACTGGCATCATTTCCAAAAGTGAGCTGCTTCTGCTCACGTATGAGCAATTTCTGTGTCAAATAATGACACTTCTAAGCTGTGTGTGTGTGTATATATCTGTATTTGAATGGTGTACCCCTGGAAATGTGGCCTTCTGCTGAAGACTAAAAGGCTCCCACGCTTGCAGATGGATGGGCGCCACAAGTGCTGTGTGGGTCTGTGGGATCTGAGATCTTAAACCTTGGCGAAATACCTGTCTTTCACTGGAAGCAACAAGCTAAATAAGCTGGAGCACCTCAGGAGTAGGGCTGGCTTTGCCCTGACCTCAGCTTTAGCCTTTTTTTCAACCCAAATTTCTGCTGTTACTCATTAGTTGTCTCTAGCAGTGCCGATGCACCTTGCTGCAGTGACTGCTGGCATTTGATTTGCTTAACATTGCCTGTTGATGGTCGCTGTCATTCAGTTAGAAAACAGACCAGCTGCAAAGAGCAGCTCTGGCAGAAGGAGCACTACTGAGCGAGCTCGTCCTTCGAGGTTTGCGAGTCCAACCTTTATGTTCTTCGAAGCCTGAAGGCTGTGGCTGCCGTGCTTGGGTTTGAAACAAAACACTTGAGCAGCACGTGTTGAGCTGAGCACCCTGGTACACAGCATCCTGCAAGCACCTCGTATCTGTGCGTTTGAACTGGGGTCTGGCTGCTTCAGAGTGGGCTCTGGCTGCAAGGTGGTTGCTTTTATCAGTCGAGCATTGACTGATGCTGGGAAGACTCGAGTTGTGCTGCTGGAGGTCTGGCCCTCACCGCTCCGTCCCAGCGCCTCAGTGGGCAGATCCCAGTAAGAGGCGCCTTTGTGGCATCTTCCCTGCAGCCATAGCTGCCATGGCTGATCTGAACGCATTCCGGTCCAGCTGCGGCCCCAACTGCCGGGGCCTCCCTGCAGGGTTCCGTGGCTGTTGGGCTCCATGTGCCTGCCCAGCATCTGGTGCTGTCGGGAGCTGTAGTCTGCATCAGGTCCTGGCTGACTACACTTCCCAGCAGGCTGCGAGGGAACGGAAAGGAATGGCTGGGCCTTCCTGAGCCGGGGGGGGAGAGCCGGGGCTGGTGGGTGTTTGGGGTGATGAGGGCGGCCGTTACGGTGCTCCGGGTGTGGGATGCAGTGGGCAGGAGTTTGGGGATGTGGGGAGAGGAGCAGCGTGAGCACAGCTCCGGGGTGCTGCATGTCCGGTGGGCTGCGTGCGCCGCGCTGATGGGAGGCAGGGATGGCTGCAGCAAGGCGGGCTGAAAGCTGGGGGCTTCATCCTGCTCACACAGAGGGCAGGCAGCTTTGTTTTCTGCTTGGGCCGAGTGGGACAGGCTGTGCCTCTTGTTTGGGATCCCTGGGTGCTACGGATCCGGAAAGTGGGGGGGTTATTTTGCAGAGCAGCTCCATGGTGCCAGCGGGACATTGCCTGTGCAAACCGCTTCAGGAGCTCAACGCCATTCAGGGTTTTTTGTGTTTTGCTTTTAAATTCCCACTGAACCTTTTGTGAGTGGCTTAGAGAGGCCTGAGCAGCATGGAGGCAGTCTGCAAGCTGCAGAGGAAATCTTTTTAACAAAGGTGCAACGTTCACTAAGGCAATTCGGTGCATTTTCCTGTCCTTGCAGATAGGAGGTTGGCGTGGATGTGAGCAATGCTGTCAGACCGCCTGAGAGCTGAAGGTGCAGCTCAGGTGAACCTGCAAACAAACTTGCCCTGAGCAAAGAACAAACAAACTTTCTGCCATGGTGAGTGCGATACAGCACAACGTAGGCCTGGGAAATCCAGTTTTATGGCTCTGGCACATCTATGTGGAGGCAGAATGGGTCTTGGGAGCGGAGGCTTCTTCCCTGCTGGTGTCCAGGAGGGCTGTGCACGAGTGGGCTCTCAAAAGTTGTAAATCTCTCTCTAACCCCCCCACGCTTCATGTGCCATTTCTCAAACAGCACCACAGGGGGAGGGCTTCACTGCTGCTCAGTTGTGTGGGGAAAGCCCAGGTCTGATCTTCGTTTTGTAACAAGGAAATTTGCCTTTCTTCTTAGGCTACAAAATCCAAGAGAAGTTCACGAGGTACGTACACCTGTGTGCTTTCCTTCCGCCATCCGAAGGTGCTTTGATCTGCTAGGAGCAGAGCAGGGGGGGTCACTCACCAGTCACAGTCACACACAGCAGTCCTTGCTGCTGAAATCGTAATTCGTGCTCCTTGTCTGAAAGCTGCTGTTGGGTGCATTGTGCTTTCTTGGGGATTTTTCCAAATCCCGGGGAGGACATTCACATTTAGTTCAGTTCTTCCCCACAGCTGCTCCAGAGGTCCTTGTTAAGAGGTATTTTGCAGCTCTGGATTCTGTAGCAGTGCTTTTGGGGATGCCTAAGGGCCCTTGGCTACTGTGGGGAGAGAGCTCACAGATAAAGGGCTGCTTGTGGCCAGTGAATGAGTGGAAAGAAGGCATATTATTTCTGGCTAAATGAAGCTAAACTGTGCATCTATCAAATACTGATCAAGTCCTGGTCCTGGCAATTCTCTCTAGACTGGTAAAGGAGGGCTGTACACTGATGTTTGATTGAGAGCAAACCTTTATTCTGGGGGTCAAAAGAAAAAGGCCTACTGAAATAGGAAGGTTTTTTACATCTGCTTTGGTTGTCTCACCTGCCTCAGCTCCTTTAATTTCTCTTGTCCTAGGCTCCATCGATGACGTGCTGGGTGACCTCCTGGGATATGATGGTAAAATATGCCTTGATTGCAGCTGGAAGGGCAGCATCCTCACACTCTGTTAGGAGCAGGAGGAGCTGGTGCAAGAGCTATTGCTCTCCAAAAGGGCTCCAGTTGTGAGAGGGGATGAAGCAGGGAGCAGAGCTGAGAACGTGGTTTCTCAGAGTCCATTGAACAGCATTGGGCATTGGCTTGGGGAGGCAGAACGGAGTTCATCTCCAGTTAAAACCTTTTTTGGCCCATAAGGAGGCAGCAAATTCCCCCTTGGCATTCCTAGGTCAGGAAATATGCCTATGTCTATCATCCTAATCTCTTTCTGTCTTGTTTCCAGATGAAGGCCCTGATAAATCTTCCCAACCAGCTGGTGTCAGCAGTGGGAGAGCCCAGGGCAGCAGCTTGAAGGCCAGTAAGAAGTGAGTTCCTTTGGCACGCAGCCTCTCTGTGCTCCCCATGTCCTTCTGACCTGCACCATCCCTGGCTCCTCCACCTTCCCCCCCCTGCCCCAATAGAAACTGAATGAGGAGAATTATCTGTGATCCCTTTGGAAATTGGGAACTCAGATCCTGAAGCTTTCCAGAAAGAGTTGGGTGTCTCCCAGCCCTGCACACGTCCTGTACGTTTTACAACAGCTCTTAAACACGGCAGTTCCAGCACTGAGATTTTATTGCTTGTATTTTTTTCAGCCTCATTTTCCCCAGCTCACGTGTGGTGCTGCTAACCCCAAGGCTTGTGTTGCAGGTCATTTCTGGAGGATGATTTCTTTAGCAAACTCCCTGCAGAGGACATGGAAGCTGCAGAGGTGAGCCCAACGTTTCAAGAGATACCCAGGGTGTCCTGAGGGCTGGATCTGAGTGGGGCCAAGCTTGCCCTGGCATCACTCCATCCAGGACTGTGATGGGATGTCAGGGAGGAACCTTGAAGCTTGGCTTATGCCCTCTCTGGTTTCACTGTGGAGTAAAGAAGGTGGGATGGCAGAGTGGGTAGATGATGGGAGAACAGCTTTTAAGTGCAGCCCAGCCTTCTTCCTGGCTGAATTTCAGATAAAGTATCGCAGGAAGGACCCAAAGTAACAGACTGGGTGTTCCTGATGTTTCTAAAAGGGACAGCAGGAATTTAAGCAAAGGAATCAAGGCGCAGTGGGTTTCCTCTATAAGGAAGGCACCAGGGTGAACTGAACGTGTAGTTTCATGAAATGAAGAGAATCAGGGCTCCAAGTGCTGGAGCAGTTTACTTAGGGCTGTAGCAGATGCAGGTGGTCTACATTTGCACCTGGATTTTGAGCTCCAGGCTACTACTTCTGCCATGAGGAGCTTGCAGAGTTTGTCTATCTGATCTCTCCTCTCTTTGGCATGCAGGAATCTAGTATCTCTGATGCAGACCCACAGGCTGTGCTGCAAACCCTGAAGGTAAGTTCACAAGTCCTTTTCAACCCAGGCCATTCTGTGATTCTATGGCATGAAACACCCCTCTTTGATAGGCAGTGTTGTACCAAAGGAGCAGCAGCACTGGGGCATTAGCATCACTCACACAGCTCCCATCCTCATCCTATTGCTCTCCAGGAAATGGATGACATGGAAGCTGATCTTCTGGGAATGTCAAAACCCAGTTCTGGGCTGGGAAAGGCAGCTACGAAAGGCCCAGGGAAATGTAACACCTCAGAAGGAGCAGTAAAAACTTCAGGGAAGATGCCAGCTCCTGAGACAGGTAAAAAGGAAATTCTGCTCCTCTTTCTACAGCCTGACTGTGAGCAAGTATGGCGTATTTGCATTCCACATTCCTTTTCCTGGTCACTTGTTCTGCATGCAAGGAGAGCCAGAGGGGTTACAATAAAGATACCCCAGTTCCCAGTATGTCCTGCTCTTCTCAAGGCACTTCTCCCCTTCCCTGCTTGCAAGGCAGCTCCTCCAGAGAGATTCCCACTCCATAGGGGTGCTTAAGGGGGAACACTGCAAGAAAAGCAGCCTTCAGCTGGGGTGGGACAGGGGCACCTCCATCTGCCATGCTCTGAGTGAGCTGTGGCCTTTCTTTCTAGGAGAATCTGCACCTGAGACGGATAAGAAACCACTCTCATCCCCACCCGCTTCCCGACAGTACAAGAAGTTTAACTTTGAAGGTAGTTCTCCCTTCTCTTCCACATGGAGATGCCTGGCAGCAGCTGAGGGCTCTCTGCTCTTTGCACAGAGCTTGCCTCTTCTGTCACTGGTGGCTGTGGAGCACTTGGCTTAGAGCGGGGTTGTTCTAAATAACGTTGGGTTTGTTCTTTTTTGTTTGTTTTGTTACTGTTGTTGGTATTGCTATTATTATCATCAGCCTTTCCTGTCCCTGTGGGGTAAAATTCCTAGATGTAAATGATCCTTTGGCCGGGCTTCTATCTGGAGAGGAGCAGGGTGTTCCCAAGAAGCCATCTCCAAAAGGCAGCGAAGGAAGTCCGGAGAAGAAAACAGAACTGGGCAAAGAGAAAGGTAAGCAGGGATGCTCAGTGCTCCCCTTTCATATTAAATTGGCAACTTCAATTAGTCTGTGTGAGTTTCAAATGACCTGGTTCCATCTCTTATGAATCATTATGGTCATTTATAAAGCAACTTCATGACGGGGTTAATTGTAACACACATCACTGAGTGCTTGTTATTTCCAGTGTGCCACAGGTTACAGCACTGGAAGCCCAGCTCTTCCATTTGACCTCATCCAGCCTGTTTCGTGCCTTGCCAAATGACCACAAGTTTACTGGGTGGGGGTTGAGGTGGCTGAGAGCACCATCAGCCCAGGCCAAAGCCCAGTCAGGCCGCCTCCAGGTTGAATCCAGCTGTACAGGGGCTGCACTTAAGTATGAACCTCTTGTTCCTGCAGTAGGGATACTGAAGGGCTGTTAGTCCCTGCACTCCAGTAATCTGCTCTGCTGCACAGATGGACGCAGCAGCTGGTGGGTTAGAGCAAGGCCTAAGGGTGCAGTGGGGAATCTTTTGCAGGGGGGCAGGAATTACCTGATAAGAAACTTGCAAAGCCAAAAATCTGGTGTTAGACAGAGCTGGGAAACCCATGTTACAAAACTCAGCCATGTCCCATCAGTCACTTGCTGTAGGGTTTGGTTGCTGAGAAGCACTGTTTCAAAGCGACTTTGAGAAGAAAGAGCAGATGGGGCTGTTCTGAGCTCTTGCTGCTGGGAAAAAAATGAAATACAATAACAAAGCCCTGATCAAATCTTCTGCTTCTGTGATCCTATCCACAGAGCCAATCCCAGCCCAGACACTCCTGCACACTGCAGCCCCAGCCCGGCAAAGGGAGGAGCTCACGTTTGAAGATGATGATGATGACCTGATGGATGTGCTGGGATTTGGTGATGGCCGAAAAGGAAACCAGAAGCAGGGAAAGAAGGTGGAAGAGTAAGGCATTCTTGGGCACTGGAGGAGAATGGGAGTAAAGGAGGGGCTTAGTTGTGATGCCACCATACTGAGGGCTGCTGGAGGATTTCAACACTTCTGCCCTTGGATCCCAGAGCAGCCTCATTTTGCAGAGAAGAGTCAGAACATCCTGACAAGGCTGTGTGTCTGGGAATGGCCCTGCTTCTTGGAGAAACCATCTCCTGCTCTGTCCCCAGCAGACAGGAGGTGCGTCCGGCCCGCTCCAAGCTGGATGAGTTACTGGGACGAGGCTCCATCGCCAAAATCCTGGAACGGCCAGGAGCAGGAGAGCACAGAGAGTTCAAGCTGGATAAGAAGTACCAAAAGCAGCCAGGTGAGTGCAGCCAGCGATGCTGGGAAGGTGATGGTGTTGGCTCCAGAGAGCGAGATGGATATCTCAGTGCACTTACAGGGGAAATACCTTTTTTGCAATGGTGAGCAGGGTTGCTGATGAGCTCCTTGTCAGCCCTGCGGGGAAGGTGGCTAACACAAAATGTAATACTGTGGTCTGGAGGGCAGCTGGGAGCATTTGCACAATCATTGCAGCTCAGCTGATGATTGGTAATTTACTGAGTAACTCGGTTGCCTCGGAACATGAGCTGGTTTCCAGCAAAGATGCTTTTCCCAGCCACAATGAGGAGGCACATTGCTCGCAGGTTTCCAGGGAAGGTGTTTTTCCAGCTGTGATTTCCCAGAGGCAGTGATGCCAGTGGGAATGGCAGGGGAGGAGCAGGAGGGCTGGCGTGTTAGCAGCTGCTGCTGCTCTGGGTGCTGACTCAAAGTTGCTTATCTGAACAGAGAAGGAAGAGGGTTGGGACGAGGAGGATTTTATCTTTGGAGCTTACCAGCCCACAGTGGCCACCACGCCTGAGGGCCGTCCCTCCAGGAGGCAGTCTGTGAGGTACTGTGCTGTGTGTGTGACTGTAGCTCCATCCGCTGACCACAGTGGCAGAGCTCCCTGGTCGCCCTCACAGGCAGGCGTGCAACTCCCTCTCCTTGCAGCAGGTTTTCAGCTGAGAACAGCAGTGAACCAAAACCAGACCCTCACTCCAAACCTCCTCCTGCAGCCAGCCAGAGCCCTGCACGGGGCAGCAGGGCTGGGGGTGACTGGCTGGGCCTGAAGGATGAGGATTTTTTGGATTCGGAGCCTCCATCTCCAGCTAAGACCAGTCCTGCCGTGAGCTCCCAGCAGCTCCTGGCTACAGAAGAAGCAACGTCCAAACCCAACCAACTGGAAGAGGATAACTGGCTGAGCGTTGCCTTGTCTCGCAAGAAGGCTCAAGCTCAGGTGAAGGCTCAGGAGAGAAGTGCTGTGCCCCTGGAGACCCCAGGCAAAGGACTGGAGCCCAGCCCTCCTGTCAGGTAGGGGCATGACTGATGGCTCCTGTTTGCTCTGCATGTAGCAGCTCCAGGAAAGCCTTGGCTCGGTTGTTAGGAATTCATTTTAAGCACTGTTTTCTCATCACAGATTGGGGTATCAGTGCAGGACGTTCTCATGCTGATCATCCATCCCGCAGTCCCTCACACCCCTGGGTCTTCTTCCATTTGTGTCCAAGATTTCACACGTTACCCTGGATCATGCAAAGCTGTCCTGAATCAGTGCATCCCCAGGGGCTCTGCCTTTTTCATGCCCAAATGTCCCCTTCCTTTTCCTTCCTCTTAATTTCAGGCAAACCTCCTCCAGTTTGTGTTTGTATGGACACAGACTCAGACTTGTGCCATTCAAGTGGGACTGTAAGGCAATATGATGACAAACAAATATGTTTTGGGCAGGGATGTGTTAGCTGCAGCTGATGCTGCCCAGGAGGAGTGATGGATGCAGTGAGGTAGGATCCAGGTGGTAGAGTTTTGGAATTCCTTTGCAGCCAGAAGGCTGAATCCTGCCGCGGCTCAGGGGTTCAGAGGCTTTCACCCATGTGGAATTGAGGGAAAGGATCTTGTCTTTTCCTTGTCTCCTCTCTGGCTTTATCACATGTGATGCTCTTTGCTTGCAGCCAGCCAGCCACCTCCACGGGAGCAGCACCACAGGCAGCTGCCCTGCAGGACAAGGCAGCGAGTGCAGACAGCTCTGGGTGAGGCTTCCTTTTCATTTCAGACCCCCTCTGTGGGAGAGGTGTCCAGCAGAAAGCAGCTGTGTGGGTGAGATAGGGGAATGGGGAGAGCCAGTAGCCAACGCTGATCAGTTTGACCTGGGACTCTGTAACAGAGAGGGAATGCAGCTCTGTAGGGGCACTGTTAAACCTAAGACATGCCATGCAGGGTGACGTCCTTGCCTCTCGCCATGAGCCGGGACACTGCTGTGTCTCAGCATGCTGTGTCTCATGTGTGTCTCTGCCCACACAGGCACCCAGTCCCTTGGCTCAGCACTGTGACACAAGCCTCAGTTCACCCATCGGAGCCTGCAAAGAGGGATCCCCTGAGAGATGCCAGCCACATCGGTGTGTTTCACATGATGGGTCGGTTTGGGTCACAGCACGGCCCGCTTTGAGCAGCTTGGCTGAATCTGTGTCCCTATGGCCAGCTGCTGGAGCAGAACAGGAGCCTTTCTGCTCTGTCTGGGAGACCTGGACCCCCATCCTTCTGGAAGGGGATGATTCCCACTGCTGTGTCTGAACGATGAATTCATTGAACTTTCAGGCCCTGCAGCAGAGCAAGGGATACAGGGCCCTGCCTCACTTGCTCAGGTACGTCTGCTGGGACCATACCTAGAGGTGCAGGATCAGAGAGATCATTGGGCCCTCCCCAGTGTCAAGCTTTGCCTCCCTGAGAGCATCCGTGTCTCTGCAGGTTACCATTCCCAGCACACCGCTCCAGGCTGCCTCACAGCTGCAGGTGAAGCACGTGATGTCACTCAGAAGCTGATGGCCGTGCCACAAAGCCACTGATGCTTAAATCTCAGTCTTCTCTCTTCATTTCCCACAGGCTGAATCCCCACCTCTGGGCTCAGTACATGAGAGGAGGCCAGGAGCTCCCACAGTCCAGCCCTACGATGATGCAGCAGGCTGTCGGGCAGCACTGCTCAGTGCCCAGGCCCGTGTGGCAGAGCTGGAGAGCCAGGTGAACCCCATTTTTGCCTGCTGGATGGGGGGCTACAAGTTACTTAGCAGGAGGAGAACCATATCTTCTCCAAATAGCATCAGGGGAGAGGAGAAACCTCCCAGTCCAGGAATGCCTGCTGCCACCAGGTGCTGCTATGGGAGCTGTGTCCTTAGGGCAGCACAGAGACCTACTTTGCACGTCCAACAGGTCCGCATGCTGGAGCTGGAGCGGACGCAGCACAAATTGTTGCTGGAGAGCCTTCAGCAGAGGCACCAGGAGGACCTGGATCTTCTTGAGAGTGCACACAGGTACAGGATTCTCACCCACTCTCCCCCTGTGTCACATCCTTGCCTATGGCCCTTTCCTCCCTCCGTGGGTGGGTCTGCAAGAAGGCTTTCCAAATCCATCCCTGGGTGGGCAGACACAAAGTAATGTTGCTGCTGACCCACTGGGGATTCATAGGTGAGCCAAAGTGAGGATCTACTCTCACCAACACTGTCCTGTTGACAGGAGAGGGACCAGTGCCATTGCTGGCACGTCCTCAACTGGAATACTTTACTGGGCAGCAGTGGGAGAGTTCAGGGCTCAGTCTGCAGAAAGTGCCTCAGTTTCCCCATGCATACTGTAACACCGATTTCCTTGCTAGACCCCCCATGTGCACTTTGGATGGAGAGTGCCAGGTAATGCCATGAAAGCAGCACTTATTCTTTGCCCTAACACCCTTGGGGGCTGTTTCTGGGCAGGAGCCGGGTGAAGGTGGTGGAAGAGACTTATGGGCAACGGGAGGAGAGGCTGCGGCGGGAGAAGGAGCAGCTGGAGGCTCAGCTGCTGTCACAGAGCCAGGATGCAGAGCGGGCCAGGGCAGATCTGGTGGCACAGCACAAACAGCGTGTGGCCACACTGGAGCAGCAGAGTGCCCAGGAGCTGGAGCGGCTGCGAGAGCTGCAGAGGTGAGCATAGCATGCATGTGGTGCTAGTCTTGTCTCTTCCATCTTGGGAAGGGAAGCAGGAGATGGTTTGGGGACACGGGAGAAGGAAAAATCAGGCTCCAGGAGCACTGGGTTGTGGTGGATTTTGGAGTGAGATTGGCTTTGCAGGTCAGCAGATCAAGACCTGGCTGTAGACATAATTTCATAGTGAATGCACTGTATTTTGAAAGAAGAGGAGCCAAATGTTTTACATCCCCCAAACATCTTTTATTCAGGTCCCTGTGTCACTGATATTCACGTAGCCGTAGCAATGAGAAATCAGTTTTTGGCAGAGAAACCCATCACCCTCAAACGTAGCCCATCCCAGACGTGAACACTATCAGTGGGATGCCCCAGCTCAAGCCCACGACCATGCTTCTTTCACAGCGCCCATCCCAGGGAGCACCAGCTCACACCATCCCCTGATGGCCTCCTTCCTCTGTGTCCTGCAGGTCATCTGTTCAGGAGATGCGCAAAGACCACGAGGAGCAGCTCCAGCGGCTGAAGCGGCTGAAAGAGCAGGAGATCGATGCAGTGACCAGTGCCACGTCACACACCAGGTACTGATGGTGCTCCCCGTCATATCCCCACGCTGGGCTCTGCCCATCACGTTCCCTGTCCTGCAGTAACCAGCCTTGGCTCAGGAACCAGCCACAGATGCCCCTCCGCGTGGCAGAGATGTGAAGCACGTCCTGTAGGGGGGACCTGTCCTCTTGCTCTTCTCTGCAGGTCTCTGAATGGTGTCATCGAGCAGATGGAAAGGTTCTCCAGTGATCTGCACAACCTCTCGCACAGGGTGGAGGCCACACACCACACCACCTCCCAGGAGCTGGCCATGGGAGCTCGGCAGCGGGATGAGCAGCTCAAGGGTACGTCTGCCCTTCACCTGCTGACAGGGCTGTAAGGGCCCTGCAACCAGAAAATAAGGAGATCCAGCCAAAGCTCCCTCTACTGTGGTCATTGGATTCCTCAGTGTCTCCCCATTACAAAACAGTGTCCTGGGGACATGCAGAAGATGATGAGCACAAAATCACACTGCTGGTTTTTGGGTTTTTTTTTTGTTGATATGGTGAATATAGAGGGAGCTTGCAACCCCAACGCTATGAAGGATGCTGGAGAGGGTGGTGGTGATGCACTCAGGGTGGTGTGGGTTGAATGTGCAGAACCCTGGAGCTCACAGCCCTGCTGCTGCCTCTCCCCAGTGCTCCAGGACAGGCTGTCACAGCAGCAGAGGGACATGGAAGAGGAGAGGAGCCGACTCCAGGAGGTGATTGCCAAAATGGAGGCCAGGCTAAGTGAACAGACCCGGCTGCTGGAGCAGGTGAGTGCACAGCCTGTCCTCTGTCTGGGTCGGCCCTCTGGTTATGGGGAAGATAACGTCTCCCCATTGGAGATCCCTGATTCGGAGCTTGTGAATGGCATTTGTTTCTCCTCCGTGCCTGGCCCAGGAGCGATGGAGGGCGACGGCAGAGCAATCCAAAGTGGAGTCTCTGCAGCGCTCCCTGGAGGAGCAGCGGCGAGTCATGAGCCAGCAGCTCTCCATGGAGCGGGCAGAACTGGAGAGGGCAAAGGTGAGTTGGGGTGGGCATCTCCACGTGTTTTTCACATCCCATGAGTCTGATTAGGGCCGCGCTGCTGTGTATGGTGGGTGAAAAACTGAATTCTGGGCGACAGCATCCCTCATCTCCCCTCTGTCCTCTGCCTGCTCAATCCCACACCTTGCGGTGCAGTGAATCATGACCACACCAACTGTCTGGCACCTGGGTGCAAAAGGCTGGAGTGAGCATGTGTGATGGAGTCTGTTTGCAAGGAGCACGGGGCCAGAGCTCCCTTTGCAGGACTCACACTAGGCAACCGACTTGGCCAGCCTGTAGATGTCAGGTGTGGTTTAGTGGCAGAGATGGTTTTTAAAGGAGAAAATCTTATGGCTGGAATACTTAGCGCTGCCTACCTCCCTCTTGTGGTGTTCTGCAGAGTGCTTTGCTGGAGGAGCAGAAGTCAGTGATGCAGAAGTGCTCAGAGGAGCGCCGGAAGCTGGCCGTTGAATGGGCTGAATTTCACACCCAGCAGCAGCTTAGCAAGGAGCGGATGGAGCGTGACATTGACCGAGCCCTGCAGTTGGATTCCCAAAGGGAGGGCACCATCATCAGCCTAGCCAAGGTATGGCAGCAGAGCCTCTTCCTGTAGCACCTGGACTGCCTGGCAGGCAGCAAGGATCCCCATGATCCTACCTGCAGGGACATGGGGAGAGGTTCAGAGCTGGCTTCGGGTGTTCAGGATGGAGTCATCACATCGTGTCTGGTGGTGAGAATTGGGATCTTCCCTGGGCAGCTCCTGCCAGCCAGTTTTAGGTGTTGACTTAGATTGACATCAGTCACATCAGTCCTCTCCCCTTTGCCCATGAGGAGTTTGAGCAGCACAGCCCCTGTTATAAACATCTGAAGTCAGGTGAAAGGAAACACCCATGACAGGTTAAAAAAAGCCTCACCGTGACACGAGGATTTATCTAGAGTCAGTTCTGCTCCCTCCTGGGGCAGTTCAGAAGGGATGTGGCACGGACAGTGCAGCAAGAACTGCATTGTTAAGGTCTAACGGAGTGGTAATGTGTGTCTGTACAATCCCAGCTTTGTTGGGCACTGGGCCCCAAGAGTGGATGGTTGAGGGCACCCTTTGGTGTTGCTCTGCAGAACAGACCTGGTGCACAGTAGGAGTTCAGTGGGCAGATGACTCCCATAGCTTGGGAAGACAGGAGATAGTGCCCAGGACAGGGCTGGGTACACATCCATTGCACCCATGTCCATCCTAGGAGCAAGCAGAGCTGAAGATACGGAGCCGTGAGCTGAAGGTCAAGGAGGAGCAGCTGGCGAGGGACAGAGAGCTGCTGGATGAGGCCTGGCATGAGCTGAGGCTGGAGAAGGAGAAGGTGAAAGGGGCTGCACTGCGCATCCGGCAGCAGGAGGAGGAGATCAAGAACATGAACAAGGTAGGTGGAACATTTGCACTGCAGTTCACAGCTGCACACAGGCTGGCAGCAAAGCTGGCATCACATCCCTCCTGAGGCCATGCATCCTGGTCCTGTCCTGAAAGGGAAATGAGAGGATGCACAAAGACACTCTGTCCCAGGGCAGTGAGGGTTCCTCTTCCCCTCATCCCCATCCTCTGCCTTGCAGCTCTCAGCACAGAAGTATGAGGAAGGGGAGCGAGCCCTGCAGGATGCATGTAGGATAGAGTCTGAGCACCAGGCCAGGCTGCATGTAATGCAGCAGCACCTGGAGCAGCTCAAGCAGCAAGAACAGCACCTGCAACAGGTAATGTCCCCTCACCCTCCCTTCTTAGCCTGGAGCCACCATGCCAAGGATCTGAACCTTTGCCAATGACCTCTCCCTTTCTCCTTGGGACGGGGCAGGAGAGGTTGAGCATGGCTCACCAGAGGAGACAGCTTGAACAACTGCACAAGAAGCTGCCCAACAACCCCACACTATTGCTGACCACAGACCAGGATCTGAGTGCTTCCACCAAGGGGCTCTCCAGCACGCTGAGTAAGGTCTTCTGCACACTGCTGGTGGAAAGGGGCATGCAGAGGAGCTGTTGCACTTTTAATTCACTTATCAGAAATATTGGGATACTACTGGGCCTGTTTTAGTTGTTTGTATACAGTATAAACATCAGATCTGAGTTGGTGTTGGCTGCTTCATGTTCTTAGGGAGTTCTGTTGAGCTCTGTGAGCCAGGGCGATGCCAAGAGGGGGAGTAAAGGGAGATACAGGTGGGCTAAAGCCCATTTGTTCTGGGAGGCTGGGGAGGACCCCACTCAGGAAGCAAAACTGGCATGCTCTTTTGCCCCTATCTGCCTCCCTCTAACAGCAGAGGGGACTGCACACTTGTGCTCTCATTGCAGGTTTTCCACCTCCCATTAGGACATTGCCAGGGCACAGGAGAGTGGACACGACTGCTTCAATGGAGCTCTATGCCAAACTGCTGGTGCTGAAGCACAGGGCACAGCAGGTGAGCGGGACTGGGAGGGATTTTGAGCCAGAGGGTTGGGAGCAGAGCAGGGTGAAGCTCTGAGCATCCTCTCTTCTCAGGACCGCAATTTCCTGGAGGACGAGCAGCTCTTCCTGGAGACCCTGAAGAAGGCGTCCTACAACACTTCACCTCTGTCAGCGTGAGGAGCCATTTCCTTTCTTCTCTCGAGCTGTGTTTGCATTGAGGGCTGGGCTGTGCAAATGGGGAGGGAGAGAGGAAGGAAACAAGTAATAAATAATGTCTGTTTAAAGAATCTGTCCTTTTTTTCTTTAAAAACTCTGAAGTATTCAGTGTGAAGTCCTTCCCCATGGCTCTGAAGTATGTCAGGTCTTCATCACTCAGGGGTACTGCTACTGTTTTCATTTCTGGCTTCATTTTTGGCATGGAGGCCACTTAAGTAATCTAAACAGGAAACGAGGGATGGAGATGTAATTGGGGACGAGAGGAGAGTCCGACCCTGTGGGGATGTGGGGACATTTCTAGACAGGCCCTGCGCGGGGCAGCTCCATCGCCATGGCGGCGGGGCCTTTCTAGACAGGCACTGCACCGGGCGGCCCCGTTGCCATGGCAGCGGGGGCCTTTCAAGCCAGGCTCTGAGCGGTGCAGCCCTGTTGCTATGGTAACGGGGGCCTTCCGCTGGGGGCGGTGCGCATCATGGCGGCGCCCTTGTTGAGCGCGGCGCTGCGCGGCGCCTGGAGCGGGCGGGCCTTCAGCACCGCGGGTGAGATGGGGCCGGGGTTGGGCCCGGGTTCCCTGCGGGAGGCTGCTTGGGGACATGCGGAGGGGCAGCTCTCGGGAAAGGCCGATGCGAGGCAGGTCCGGGAGGCGGGGGTGCCTGCAGCCTTTCTGCTCCTCGCTCCCCCTCGGGCGCCGCGTAGCTCATTCCGTCCCATAATGAGGGCTCTCTCCGTTTCCAGCCGCTCTTTGCAAACGGGCGGCCCCGCTGGGCCCGATGCCGAACGAGGATATCGATGTCAGCAATTTGGAAGCGCTGGAAAAATACCGCAGTTTCACTCGGTACTTCAAACTGGCAGAGAAGGAGAGCAGGAAGCCGCGGTGGTGGAAGACGTACCGGCAGTACACGAACCCCGAGCCAGGTAGTGCGGGAACGGCCGTGCCTCGCCCTGTCCCTGAGGGTCAGAGCTGCTGGCTGATGTTGCAGTGGCTTTGCTCTAAGGCTTGGTCTGTAAACAGTTGGTGAATTGTTTTGGCACGAGGTTGGTCTTTCTGTAGAGCACAGATTCTTTCAGAAAAATCATAGAATCAGAATGGTTTGGATTGGAAGGGAACCTTACAGCCACCCCCAGCCCCATCCCTGCCGTGGGCTGGGTGCTTCCCACCAGCACCCATCCATGGCCTCGGGCACCTCTAGGGATGGGGCACCCACAGCCCTGGGCAGTGCAATGGCCTCACTGTCCTCTGGGTAAAGAATTTCCTCCTCGCATCTCATCTAAAACTCCCCTCTATTAAGAAATTACTCCCTCTTGTGTTGTCATTATCAGAGCACATAAAAAGTCTGACAGCCCTTTCCTAGGAGAAGGGACTGGCCAGGACCTTCCAAAAGATATAATGGAGTAAAGTGGGGATTTCTTAAAGCACTTACAGTACTCAAGAAAGACCTGAAAACAGACCTTTTAGACTACTTGCAGTTTGGTTTGTATGCTGAGCAGCCCCAGGGCCAGACCTGATTGACAGCTGGCAGACTTCTAGAGCTGAGTATGCAGCCAGCTTGGGGAGGAGGGAGCTGAAGTATGGAGGTGGTGGAATCGAGTAGCTGATGGCTGGAGGTCTGCTTCTCTTTCCCACACTTTCTAAATCTCTTGCAATTTGTGTTTTGGGGGGGAGCGTTCAGACTTTTCATGTGTGATTTTATTACCCCTCTCTAAAGAGCCAAAGACTGACATCAGCCTGCCACGTGATAAGGTGCTGCGGGTAAGAGAAGTCAAGGAAAGGAAAAGAATCCTGAAGCAGAACCACCAGAACATCGAGATGGAGAGAGCAGCACGGCTCCGGACCGGTGCGTGCCCCTCCAGCCCCCATGCTGCCCTTTCCCTCCCCCCAGCAGCTCTTGCAGTGTGTGTCTCTCTCCACAGCGCTGATCCCTCTCGATGAGGTCAGGGCAGAGTGGGAGAAGACCAGCGGCCCTTTCCACAAGCAGCGCCTGGCCGAGCACTGCGGGATATTTCGTGACTTGTTGCAGGGGGCCACCTTCACCCCCTGGGTTGGCTTGAAGGTGGGATACAACCAGGAAGATGAGCACCTGGTGCCAGTCTACTACGGGAACGTGGTGACTCCGTCGGAGGTGTGCGAGGGCTTCTTCCCATGGGAAGGCTCTGGTTTTTTTTGTCAGACTCCTGTGATTGGTGTTTGTTCTGGGAGCTTTCTGTTACTAAAGTATTTCCTCTATGGTGAAAGAGATACGTTTCTTGGATGGGAGAAGGGCAGAAGTTTGCAACGAGGTTGTTGCCTGTTGGCAGGCTCTTATCCCTCCTGGGGCTCTCTGGTTGGATCTGTTACTGTGTCATAACTGTGCCTGTGACAAATTCACATTCTTTGCGTTACAGTTAGAACTGATCTCAATGGAAGTTGTTGTTCAAGTGGTTTCTGTTGTCTTTTATTTAGGCTTCCAATCCTCCTGAAGTGTCATATGAGGCAGATAAAGGCTCTCTCTGGACTTTGTTGCTCACAAATCCAGGTGAGTTCTCAGAAGCACGTTTAAGTATGTTGTTTCATTCTGCTCTTGGTTTCCTTTTTCTTTTGGCTGCATCAGATACATGATACCTGCTAAGTAGGGACTGTCCCCTAAGCTCAGGTACAGAAAACAACTTCAAAGGCTGTATCTTTGAACTACAATTTCTCTACTTTGAGGGCAGCTGTGTATTCTAAGACAGAGTGTTTGTGTCACCTGTGAGACAGAAAGTGGATATTTGCAGAACTGAGTGTTTGTTTATACAACAGATTGCATACGCAGGAGATTTTGTAGCATCCTAAAATCTAGCAGTACAGAGATGGGGCAGTGATGCAGCATGACTGATGCCAGATACAGAGCGAGTGGTTTGCTGACTCCAGTCACTTGTTTACCTCCAAGCTCTCCTCTTGCTTGGCAGTCCACGCTGTTCACCAGGGGAAACCAAGGCACAGTGAGGTGAAGCAGCTGACCCAAAGAAGTGACATCTGTAAAGTTCTTCATGCCTTGTTTTGAGCTCAGTCCTATAACAAATTATTTTTCTGAAAAGAGCATTGGGAGGTTTTGAGCCGCCCCCACCCTTGCAGTAGGTTCTGGTCATTCTCATTTTGTGGTTGAGGCAAACATTGAGTTGCTACTAAGGTCTGTTTCTCCTTTGTGTGCATTTACAGATGGACATTTAAGAGACACTGATTCGGAGTACCTCCACTGGCTGGTGTGAGTATTGCACATCGTTGTGCGGGGTGCAGGCTGGGAGGAAGCTTTTGTTAAGACACTTCCATGGCTTTCCCTGCTTTTTTTGCCATTAGCTTCTTTACTCTGGTGGTTTTGGTCCTGATGAAGATACAGTAGTTCCAAATGTTGCTACTGCTTGGTATTCAGATCACTGAGTTTGGCTGTTCTTCCAGTGAAATCAACTTGTACTATTTGTCGACATGTCAAACAACACATCAGTCAAATCCAAGTACAGTTCAGAGCGATTCAGAGTCACCCACAGTCCTGTATGGAACTGTTGGTCACAGCGGAAGGGAATGGATGGATATTTAGTGAAATAAATGTATTTGTGTTCAGGACAAACATTCCAGGCAATGATATCAAGGCGGGCAAGGAGATGTGCCATTACCTGCCCCCCTTCCCTGCCATGGGCACCGGCTACCATCGCTTCATCTTCCTGCTCTTCAAGCAAGACCGGCCCATAGATTTCAGCGAGGATGTCCGGCCCAAGCCATGGTAAGGCTTTCTCTAGGCAGTTTCATGCTTCCTTTGGCTAAGCAGCTCTTGTTTCCTATTACAACAAGCTTTGTACTGCTGTAGCAGAGTAATTCTTTCCAGTTTGTGGAGATGTTCTGGGCTGCTTTGTGTGTTTATGTGTTGCCCTGAAGCCATGACCTCAGCCATGCGCTGTGGAGTCCTGTTACTGTGAAGCAGGCTGTTACGAGAGAAGAGCTGTGTACAGAGCTGGAGAAGCTGGGAGATGTTCTTTTGGTGACTGCCTTTTGCACTTCTGTGCTATAGACTCTGGCGTGACATGGGGAAGTTGTTGCTTAGCCAGCTGCTGTAGGAAAAAAGCTTCACCTCAGTTCTCGTGCTTGTGTCTTGTTTCCAGCTACAGCCTCAAGATGCGAACCTTTAGCACCTTTGACTTCTACAGAAAGCACGAGGATGACATGACCCCAGCAGGGCTGGCGTTTTTCCAGTGTCAGTGGGACAGCTCTGTTACTTGGATCTTCCACCAGCTACTCAGTAAGAAATGCACTGTGGGCCCATTTGTGGGTTGGGATGTGCCCCTGTGTGTCACATGCAGCCTCAGTGAGTGAGCTGTGGCTGTAAGCTCTTGCTTGGTCCTGGCTGTCATTGAGGCACTTGTCTAAGATCTCTTACAGCACAGACCTGGTGCTTACAGACCTGTCTTCCACCAGACTGGCAGCAGTCTGAGGGAACAACCTCTAAAAGGCCATTTTGAATAAGCTTTTTAAAATAACATCAAGAAGAGCCACACCAGAGTTTGCTTGACCAGCCCTGGTCTCATGTGCATGTGGGGGGAGGATGGGGTTTGGATCTGAGCAGTCCTGTTAAAATTCTCCATTGTCCCTTTGCAGATATGAGAGAGCCTGTGTTTGAATTCGTGCGGCCGCCCGTTTACCATCCTCCACAGTTAAAATTCCCACGCCGGCAGCCTCTGAGATACCTGGACAGATACCGAGACTCCGAGGAGCCCACCTATGGCATTTACTAGGGCCCTGGTGTCCTCCTGTTGCTCTGGTGTTCGTTGCAGTGCAGGTCCAGCAGATGGAGCTGTCGGCTTCCCTGCCTTCACCCTTCCAGCTGGGCGGTCAGGAGCGTTCTGCGCCTCTCGAAGGAGAGAGGACAGAATCTCAGCCTCTTGGCTCTGAGTTCCACTTTGCTGGTGCTGCTGGAAAGCATGCAGCTGAGGGCAGCAGGCATCAGTGTTGGCAGCTGTATGGGGAAAAAGGCTATTTCAGAACATGTTCGTGGATGAAAACTAATCCATGTCCAGGCTGAAATCCTGCTACTGGTTCTGTAGCAGAGCTGATGAGTAGTGGCAGCAGGACAGAGTCCTCCAGAAATGCCCTGCCTTGCTTCTCTGGAAGGATCACCATTCTCCTTTCACCTGCCTTTGAAACAAACAAACCAGGCCAACCTGTGTCTCCTTCCCTTTTCTGTGCTGCAGTTCAGGGCTATGCCAGCTTTCATTTCTGCAGTCCTTTTAAAGAGATGAATCAAATTAAATACACTCTGAGTGATGTTGGTGATGCTAACTTGTCTTTATTGGGAGGAGCTTGGTATATCAGCCAGATGGAACAGAGCTGGGGGAGCTCAGCTGAGAAGCACAGCTCTGATCTGGATCTCCTTCCCCTCTTGGGCATCGTAAGGAGGGAAGAGCACAACTGCACAGGTGCTGAAGATGTACAAGGTCAGCATTTGTGAAGCTGGATTCTCCTAACAGCAGCTGAAGCATGTGAACATCAGTCTCCTTCCCCTTGCTCCCTCCACAGCCCGTGCCTGATGTGCATGGATGGATCACAGAGCTGGCAGGGCTGGAGCAGATACTGGCACTGCTGCAGCCTGTGCTTTCTGCTCTGCTTTGCAGTGACCTCAATGCAATCCCTCACTTTCATGTTCTAAATAACTCCCCAGACACCTCCTAAGGCCCTGCAGCCAGCAGAGAAGCTTGCATGGAAGTGCCCACCTCCTGCCATTGCTCAGCACCATTACATGCAGGGCGTTGTGCTGCTGCCCTGAGGGGTCTTCCAGCCTGATTCCAACAGAGATGAATTAGCTGGTGGGGTGACTGCAATGGGAGTGCTGGTGTCACGCAGTTCCAGCAGAAAATGCCATGTTCTGCTCCTCTCTGAGCTTTTAATATTTGATCAGAACTTGCAGATTCAGCCAAAATAAACATTTTGGGGGCTGAAGCTATGCTGTGACATGCAGCAAATGGTGACAGAGCTCGTGTCACCTCACTGGGGTGGTGTCCAACCTTGCCCCATGGTACATGAAGCTGCCCTCCTGTGAGCCCTGGCTTCAGCAGGTGGGCACAAAGCCACAGCACGTGAGGAGGTTGCAGAACTGTTGCAGCTTAACTCCAGCCTGCAAATATTTTGCAAACCAGTAATGCGTGTGCAGCGATAAGGGGTCTGCAAGGGCAAGCAGATAAGGGGGGCACTGAGAGGTTGGGAGCCTTAACCTCTGCAAATGAACTGTGTGAAAAGGGGGGGGGGGTTTGTGCAGGGCATGCAGTCCTTCCAGGCTGCAGGCTCCAGCTGCTGACTGAGTGAGGGCTGATTGCCCAGAAGCCTGTTTTCTTGTGTTTCAATGCACAGCTTTGCTGATGTGCACTGAAAAGTGGCAAGGAGCAGACTGAGAATGCCCACCTTGCTCTGCAAGCAGCAGTGCCTGAGCACACGAGAGCAGCATGAGCTGCATAAAATGGGAAGATGTGAGGTTGGGCTGGCTGCTGACTGTGTTACAGCCATTGTCACTGCAGAGAGAGGGGGCAAACAGTTGCTCTGAGCACACCACCCTGCCAGATGCTCTGGGGGAGGTGAGGATTCTCCCTCAAAGAGCAATGGTAAACAAACAAACAAGAAGTGAAACTGAATGACGCAGAACAGCGTCTCCATGGATATGCATTTGCAGTCACATGCCTTGCTCTGGGCCCTGTTAGCCTGTTGCATCGTGCTGTCAGTGCAGCAATTCCTGCACCCTGCTGTGCTGTGCCTGGGCAGCAGCTGCACCCACTGGGTGTCGCTTTAAGGGTTCTCCTGGCCCGGAGCCCTGACCCGCCTCTGCTCAGCGTCACGCATCTCTTCCTGCTCTGCAGGCCGCTTCCCACCTCCCTGCTCCTTTCCCCATCCCCAGCCCAGCATGGCCTCTCCCACCTTGCAGAAGCTGGAGGACAAACTGCAGTGCCCCATTTGCCTGGAGCTCTTCAGGGTGCCCGTCACCTTACCCTGCGGGCACAACTTCTGCGAGCGCTGCATCGACAACCACAGGAACAGACAGGAGCAGACAGCCGACGGGGCCAAGGGGGGCTACACGTGTCCTGAGTGCCGCTACATCTGCGAGAGGCACCTGGAGCTGAAGAAGAACGTGGCGCTGAGCGCCGTGGTGGAGCTGGCACGGGCGGGCAGGGTGCAGGCGAAGGGCCGTGAGCTGAGGCACGTTGGGCTGTGCCCGCTGCATGGGCACCCGCTGGAGCTGTACTGCAAGGATGAGCAGCGCTGCATCTGCTGCGTCTGCATCCTGCGGCAGTGCCAGCAGCACCGCAAGGCTCTGTTTGAAGAGGAGCACTCCGAGAAGCAGGTGGGGAACGTGGGGGGGTGGGTGCATTGCCTGCGGGAAGGTGGAGGCTCTGCGTGCTGAGCTGCGTGGCTGCGGGGCGTGGAGGCACCCCGAAAAGCAGTACGGGGGGAATCCCGCTGCGTCACGGCTGTGATTCCTCTGGTTTAGAGGAAAGGGCTGTAGAGGCATAAAGCAGCAAAGGGATGCAGCCTCTCCGTTCCCAGCCTGCTTCTAGAGGCTGCAGCACGAGGTGCCTCCTTCTGCAGGCTCTGCTGGAAACGTCCCTGGAAGAAGCTCAGAGAGAAACAGAGAGGATGGAGCAGGCGCTGCGGGGGCTGAAGGAACGGACACAGAGCATCAAGGTGAGGCCACAGCCACCTCAGGGCTGGGCTGGGTGTGAGCACTCTGGACCTCACTGCCCTCCCTTCTTGCAGGACTCCTCCGAGAGGCTCCGAGCTGTGATCCTGAGCAAATTCACCCAGCTGGAGGAAGCGCTGGCCAAGTTCCGGGAGCAGATGGTGGCCAAGGTGGAACAGGAGGAGCTGGCGGCTCTGGGACACATAGAAAAGGACCGGAACATGTTGAAGGATCATCTGGAGGCCCTTGGGCAGCACCGGGACCGGGCACAGTGCCTGCTGAACTGCACTGACCACCAGGCCTTCCTCGAGGTACCATCGGTACATCCCAAATCCCAGCCGTAAGAATGGCAAATGGGCATTTTGGGGCTGCCACGCCTCCCCCAGATATCTGTGTCCATCTGCAGGAGTTCCCGCAGCTCCTGACCCCGCAGAGCATAGAGGTGCCACCGTTAGTAGAGTTTAACGTGGCTGACGTGGTGGAACCCATGAGTGAGATCCTCTCTGCTGCCTCCAAGCTGCTGCTGCAGGAGCTGCCCTGCTCACTGGGCCCCAGTGCCCCCGAAGCCCCCGACCCCATTGCCCCAGGTGAGCTTCAAGTTGCCCTAAAAGGCTCCACCTTACCCTCGCTGCTGTCACTGTGCTGGGATAGATGGGATGGAGACAGGTGTTGGGGTACAGGAGGGTGGCTCCTGCATGTCCCCTCCTTGCTGCTCATTTCCAAGCATGCACCCAATGATTTCCCTTCACCTCTGCTCTCAGCAGTTGGGTGACATTACTCTCCATTCTTGTCCCTGTCACCCACAGGCCCGGTGCAGCCTGAGAAGACAGTGGTGAAGTTGGTGTCCACCCCTGTCCCCGTGTGCCAGCTGCGTGCCGAGCTGCTGAAGGGTGAGGAGTGGGGAGGGGGAGATGCTGCAGGGCTGGGGCAGCACTGTGGGGCTGGGGGGGGCTCTTTAGTAGGGAGCAGCAGCACCAGGGATGGCTTCCCCATAGTGTCTGGCTTAGGGTCAGCCCCTGCAGATCGTGCCCTAAATCTCACCCCACCTCCACCCTTCCCAAGGCCCCAGATTTGGATGTGACATTTTCCCAGGGCAGGCAGTGCCAGCACCCAGAGGGATGTGCAGGGCTGATCCAGAGCCCACCCTGCACTCAGCCCCCAATGCCCCTTCCCATTCTTTAGGGCCCGTTTCCTAAATGCTCCCTTTCCCATCTCCTTTTACAAGGGACTTGTAATATCTGGGACGCTTTGGTCAGGTCACTTTTCCCTGCAAGGCAATCAGTGCATACAGGACCTGTAAGGATTTCTTCCACTGAGCCCTATGAGCCATTCTCAGTGTTATTAATAGAAAAAAAACAACATCATTTATTAGCAGCAGACATGAGCCCAGAATAACCAGTGGGACCAGGTTGCTCCGGGATGATTAAATCCCACGATCCCATGTTCCCTCCTGAAACCCATCTGTTTTGGAGGCAAGCGTGCTGCTGGAGGGGGGCTGCCGCAAACTTTTGGGATGGGATGAAGCGTCCCCATGTCACTGCTGTCCCCAGCTCACAGAAACCTCACCTTCGATCCCGACACGGCCAACAAGTACCTGGAGCTGTCGTGGGGTCAGCGCAGAGCCAAGCACGGCCCCAGTGCTGCTGTTGGTTGGCAGGAACGCGGCCGCCGCTTCGAGCCCTGGCAGGTGCTGTGTGTGCAGAGCTACGGGCAGGGCCGCCACTACTGGGAGGTGACCATCTCCAGCCACTCCGTCGTGCTGGGGGTGACGTACGGTGAGATTCCCCGGCACAAAAGGAGGGGCTGCATGTTCAGCATCGGGTTGGACGGCGGCTCCTGGGGGCTGCAGGTGCGGGAGGACAGCTACCTGGCCTGGCACAAGGGGCAGGAGGAGAAAATCCAGCTGAGGCTCTACACCGAGCTGGGGATCTGCCTGGATTACGACCAAGGGCTGCTCTCCTTCTACGGCCTCGGGGAAGGGCTGCAGCTCATCCACTCCTTCCATGCTGTCTTCACGGAGCCGCTGTTCCCCGTGTTCTGGCTGTGCGAGGGCCGCACCGTTACGTTGCGCCATAGGGACTGCGGGGAGCCTGAAGGAGAGCTGGGGCTGTGACACGTCGGGTGGGGAAAAAGGCACACAGGGAATGGTGATGCTCCTGCAGCGGGGATGAAGGCCCCAGTCGCTGTGTGTGTGGTGCAGACGGGATGCAGAGATGTGGTTCCTTTTGCCCCGGGGAGAACTGAGGTTTGAGGAGCCCAGGAGAAGGAGTGGGGGCTGCAGGCAGGTCCTGTGCTCCCAGCCACCCTCGGCCCCTCACACTGCTTTCAGAGGTGGCAGAGCTGCCTTTTGGGGTGCCACGTTTCTCACTGCAAGAAGCTGCTTTCCCCAATAAAATTCTGATTTCCTGCTGGTTTGACCTCAGTGCCGGTGGGGCTGAGCTGGGTGCCCTGTTTCTGCATCCCTGCACGTCCAGCAGCAGAAACAGCCAGGGCTTCGTTTACAGCACTGCAGAGAAAAGGAAATGTGGCTTCCTATGTCTCTGCCCCAAGGTTGATCTGACCCAAAATAAAACCTCGAAGCTTTGAAGCTTCTCATCCCTGGGGATGTAAGTAAGTGGGTGAAATCGGGCACTGGGCTCAAAGGTGCTGCCGTTGTTCAGGGGGGAGAATCAGGTCCGCCTGTTCCCTTTGGGGAAAAAAAGGCTTAGAAGGAGAAAGTTCCTTTTTGGTGGACAGATGGGTTCATCCCAAGGATGGATGAGGTGGATGCACGGGGCACTTTTGCTCCGTTGGTGACACAGACACGGGGCTCCCACTCGCACGTGGAGAGCACAGACCCCTCCATCCGGCTCCCGGATCCCCGCGGGGGCGGCGGGAGGCCCCGAGCCCCCCCTCTAAGGCGACAGAGGGCGGAGCGAGCGGGCGGGGCGCGGTGTCCGACCGCCCCATCCCGCCTGCGGGGCCGCTCGGTCGGGGCGCGCAGGGATGGAGGGTGCGACCGGGAGAGCCCCGCCGGTCCCTTCCGCCGCCACCGCCGCGGCTCTGCGGTTGGCGTTGGCCGTGCCGGGTTTGCCCGACGGTCCTTTCGGTTGTCCCATCTGCTTGGATCTGTTGAAGGACCCGGTGACGGTGCCGTGCGGCCATAACTTCTGCCAGGGCTGCCTAGGGAAGCTCCGCGGGAGGACGGGCCCCCCCGACGGGGCGGCGGGCGGGGCGGCACGCTGCCCGCTCTGCCAGGAGCCTTTCCCGGCGGCTCTGCGGCTCAGCAAGAACCGCGCCCTGTGCGAGGTGCTGCCGCTGCTGGGGGCCGCCGGGGCCGGGACGTCCCCCGACGGCGCGCGGACCCCCCCGGCTATTCCATCCCCTCAGTCCGGGCCTGGAAACTCCCCCGGTAGCGCCGAGTTCAGCGGAACGGGACCCATCGGAGCCGAGTCCTCGCCCTCCGGGATGGCTCCGGGAGCTGAAGAGCAACCGGAGGGAGAAGCGGAGCTGGAAGAGGGGGCAGCGGCGGTGCTGTGCGACGTGTGCCCCGAGGGGGGTCGGGCGGCGGCTGCCCGCTCGTGCCTGGTGTGCCTGGCGTCCTTCTGCGGGGCCCACCTGGAGCCCCACCGCCGCTCCCCCGCCTTCCGTTCTCACCGCCTCGTAGCCCCGTTGCGGCGCTTGGAAGAAGGGCTGTGCCCGCGGCACCTGCAGCCCCTCGACGGCTTCTGCCGGGCAGAGCAGACCTGCGTGTGCGCCCGCTGCCGCGCCCACGAGCACCGCGGCCACGACGTGGTGTCCCTCGAGAAGGAGCGGGAGCACAAGGAGGTGCGTGGGGGGCAAACGGTGGGCGGCAGAGAGGGACGAGGGGTGTAATCGTGGTTCTGTATGGGAACCCTGATCCTGTCCCTGAGGGGCTCAGCCCGGCACAGGGGTGGCACGGTGCCCCGTGCGTGCGGTGCGGAAAGGGAATAGGGAGGACGGACCGACCTTGCAGTCCCTATGGGTTTGGGGCTGGGGGTGAGGACACCTGGGACCCCCCCACGCCCCAGGTGCTGCACCATAGTGACTGCATGATGGGGAATAAAGCAGAGTGCTGTTAATGGGACGAGGGCTGCATGCTTCTCCCCATGTGGGGTCTTGTCCTGGCACACGGACAGACGGGATGCCCTGGGTGGGGTGGGTGCTGCACCCCATCCTCACATGGGACCTCATCCCAGCAGGTGGGCTGCTTGCATGAGGTGTTGCAGCAGTGGGACTCCCGACCCCGTTGCTGGGGCACTACACTCAGTCCTGCCCTCTCCATGGGTTTAGAGGTGCAGCCCTCAAGGGTCCCCCACCCCCCATCCCCCCCCCACAGGGTGCCTGCCTTCCCTGTCTGGTTCCCACAGCTCCATCAAGGCAGTTTTTCTCCTCGCCCTGGCTCGCTGCCCGCCCGCCTCTCCCGCTCCATGAGCCCTTTGTGTTGCTCCTTTTGGCAGCGGGGATTTTTTCCGTCACTCCCATTCCCAGATGTGGCTGAGTCACCTCCCAAGTTCGCACCCACGAGCCTCCCTGTGGTTCTGAGTGCGGGGAGCTGGAGCTGCCAGGTTGGCAGCATGGGGGCATCCCTGTCTCAGTGTGGGGCCATCGGGGACCTCAGCGGTGACCCCCTCCCCAGAGGGTCATTCAGACACCCAGCAGCAGCCCCAGGCAGGCTGCCCTTCTTTTGTGGGCACTTGTGGCCATGGGGAAACCCTTCCATTAGTCATAGGACCCTTGAAATAGAAAGCTGTTTCTCCTCAAAAGGCATTGATCAGCGTCACTGCTGTCTGCAGGGTGGGAAGGAGGGACTGGGAAAGCTCCTCTCCCACTTCCCCAGGCTGAGTACTGGAGGATATCGACCCAATAACACACGTGATGCTCCCCTGGCTCCCAAAAGGCTCCCAAGGGGCCTGTCCCCATGGTGGGCAGCAGGCTGGGGCTAACAATAGCCATCAGGAAACGGTGTGCTGGAACAGTGCTTCCTTTGCAGCCCAGCAGCACCTCGTGTTCCTGAGCTGTTTCGCTCTGCTCTTACAAGAAATGTCCCAGGAATGCAGTGCTGAGTTCCTGCACTGGTCTCACTTAGCTTTTTCCAGCCTTGAACACCTTGCTGAGCATGCAGAAGAAGGGATGTTTGCGGGTTGTGTGGGTTCAGAGGGTTGCACAGGGAGGAAATAGGGAAAGTAACTTGTGATTCTTACATATCCAATAACAAAACCATGGTTGGGGGGAAGAGGGGACTGCAGCTGGGCTGGGTTTATCATTGTGCTCTGCTTCCAGTGCATGTGGAGCTCAATGCTCATCCTTTGTGCCTGCAGGCCCAGCAAGCCAAATTCCTCAGCAGTGTGGACAACGAGCTGGAGGAGCTGGCTGTCACCATCGCACAGACCAGGAAGATGGTGGAGCTCATTAAGGTGCCCTGCCCCGTTAATGGGGCACTGCTGGGAGCTGGGAGGGCCCTGTGTGCCCCCTCCCTTGCTTGCAGTGACGCTGACCCATCTCTCCTCACACTCAGGGTGTTGCCAGCAAGGAGAAGGAGCGGGTGGAGAAACTCTTTGCAGAAGCCTCTGAGCTGCTGGCCACCTTCCAGAAGGAGGTGGCCGCCTTCATTGAGGACAGCGAGCGCTCCATGCTGGGGGAGGCCGAGGCTGACCTCCGCTGGAAGGAGGAGAGGCGAGCCAAGCTGGCCCAGGGCAAGCAGAACCTGGAGAATGTCCCCAGCACCGACACCATCTACTTCCTTCAGGTGTGTGATGGGCACAGAGGCAAGGAGGAGGAGCGGGTGATGTCTGTTAGGTTCAGTCCTCTGTCACACAGAGCTGGGGGGATGTGAGGCTGTGGGATTTCCCTCCTGTTTGCAGCATCCTCTTGTCTCCCATTGCTGGGCTGGGCTGGCAGAGCTTTGTCCTCCATCACCCACACCCCCACCGCAGCCAGGACTGCAGCCCAGGCTCAGTGCCTGGATGGGGATGGGATGCAGTATTCTTTGATGTTTTGAGGAGGAGATGCTGCTCTTCAGATGGGCACGGCCTGAGCCTGGGTTTGAAAGAGAGTGAGGAGAAGGAGCCAGGGACACGTGGCCACCCTCCTCCCTTCTGCAAGGTTGCTTCAGGGCCAAGTGCTTCGAGCTGCCAGTTCCCAAATCCTCCAGGGCCGGGTGGGGTTGCGGAACAAGAGGCAGCTTCGGCTTGTTTGAAACCTCCTGAAACTCTGTCTTTTTGGCTCAGGAGTTTCAAGCCTTAAAAATAGCCATGGAAGACAACCTCTCTCCGGCTCCGAGCTTCCAGAACGAGCTCAACTTCACCAAGTGCTCCCAAGCCGTCTGCGCCGTCAAGGACGCCCTGTCAGCTGCCCGCAAAAGCCAGTGGGACTGTTTGCAGGGGAAAGGAGTGGATGGGATGAGCTTCCCAAAGATGGAGGAAGGTCTGTGCCCACCTGGCCTCATGCCCACGTGGGGAACCCAAGGGTGCATCCTCCTGATGGGGCTGGGAGATGCCTGTGGGCTTTGGGGCTCCTGGAGGCGCTGGCCCCTCTCCCGGGCACGGTTGCACAATCGCTGTCTGGGCTAACGCCTCCTCCTTGAGGTTTTATGAATTTTTCCACGGAGACCAAAAGCTTGAGAGGCAACAAACAGCCTGAGAGCTATGCACGGCCTGTGGGAGGGGGCAAGTGGCCAAAGCGCTGTGAAAGGGGACTGTTCCTTCCCAGGACAGACAGCCCCCTTCACCGGGCAGGCTGTGGGCTCCCAGAGCTGCAAGGTTAAAAACCACAGCAGCTGGAGGTGTGGGATGCTCCCTCTTGTGCTCTCACTTAAGCTGAGCTCCCTCCTGTCCATCATTTTCCCGGATGCCGATGGGGCCGCAGTGGTGATGCTTCAGGAGCACCCCGGTTGATGGCAGCAGTTTTGCTGTGACAAACCTTTCTGTCTCTGTTTTTTTTTTTTCCCCAGCGATGACCAAGTCTCAATTTCCAGACAAGTCAAACAATCCCGCCTGCCTGGAGAGCCGCGATTACTTCCTGAAATGTAAGCGATGGGGTTTTGCTTTGACAGTTGTTGCTATGGTCCGTCCTCCATCCCACAGGCCCTGGCCCCACTGCTGCGTGCCAGAGGAAATATTGCTCAGCTAACGAGGAAGTCTCCTCGCTTTCCTGACAACGGCCATAATCTATTTAAGTGATTTTTTTTTTGTTTTTTTCCCCAGCCTGTGGTTCTGCCAGAGCAGCCGCCACAGGACTGCGAGCACACCGTATAATTTCTGCTGCCTTCCAGCAAATTGGATCCTGTGTTAAATTAGATCAGGGTTGGTGTGTCTGCTTTGGGTCAGACACTGGTCAGCGTCAATTGCATGATGCAGAGGGGGGATCTGGGGGCTGTGCAGGGAGCACTGTAGTGGTAGGGAAGGGGAGAAGAAGAGGAAGGTCTAAAATGAGGCAGGAGATGGGAGAGAGGCTCCCTGGGGCTAGCAAAGAAGGGAGGCAAAGCTCTCCTGTCTTCTTGGGCTCTCCGGTTGCCTACAGCCTTCTTTCACACAGAATATTCCTGCTGCTGCTCTGTCAGGTGGGTCCTCTGATGTCTGATAGCACAGCTGAGCAGCCTGCCTGCTCTCTCCTCTGTCCAGTGACATCTTTTCATCTGTGTATGGGAACACCACAGCTTTGAGTACCTTTATTCTCAACAGCTGAAATCAGCCATGGGATTTTTACACCATCTAATAGCAATCGGACAATGGGGAATAGCTTCAATCTAAAAGGGAAAAGATTTGAGTTAGATGTTAGCAAGAAATTCTTTACTCAGAAGGCAGTGAGGCCGTGGCACTGTGCAGAGCTGTGGTGCACCATCCTTGGAGGTGCCTGAGGCAGTGGATGGACCCTGGGCAGCCCGAGCTGGGGGGCACCCAGCCCACAGCAAGAGGTGGAACTGGATGAACCAGATGACCTCTAGGGCCCCCTCCAACCTGAGCCATTCTGTGATTCTGCAATTCGGTGATTTAAAAGGAGGAGGTCAGGGCGATGGCTTAAGGATGCTGCAGGAACAGAGCCGATGGCAGTCAGAAAAAGAGCACAGGAATTGCTGAGTGCTGGAGCAGGGAGGGCTGGGGGAATTTCCTCTCTCCTCAACCTCTTGTCTTCTCCCTGTCCCACGCAGTTGCCTTCATCATCGACCTGGACAGCGATACGGCTGACAAGTTCATCCAGCTCTTTGGCACCAAGGGAGCCAAGCGGGTGCTCTGCCCCATCCCCTACCCAGAGAGCCCGACCCGCTTCATCAACTGCGAGCAGGTGCTGGGTGTGAACCTCATGAACCGGGGCAACTACTACTGGGAGGTGGAGCTCATCGATGGCTGGGTCAGCATCGGCGTCATCGCCGAGGTCTTCAACCCCCAGGACTCCTATGAGCACAGCCGCCTGGGCCGCAACACGTGGTCCTGCTGCCTGCAGTGGAATGGGCAGAACTACGCCGCCTGGTTCGGTGGCTTAGAGTCTGTCATCCAGCAGCCGTTTTTCCACACCATCGGGGTCTTTTTGGAGTATTCGGAGAAGGCTTTGACCTTCTATGGAGTCAAGGACTCCAAGATGACGTGCCTGAAGCAGCTCAAGGCCGGCTCCTTTGCAAAAGCCCAGTCGGACCCTTTCCAGCACAAGATCAACCAGCAGTTTGCAGCTCTGTTCTCCTTCAAGCTGAAACCCGCCTTCTTCCTGGAGAGCGTCGATGCCCACCTGCAGATCGGGCCGCTGAAGAAGGATTGTGTTTCGGTGCTGAAGCGCAGGTAACTGCCCTAGGAGCAGGCCCAGAGGAGCCCTCCATGCAGCACGCATCGTGGCTTCCCTCCGTACATCGGGGCAGCCCCACTTGGCGAAGCGCTTTCCAGAACTGCAGCATGGAATCATCTGGGTTGGAAGAAGCCTTCAAGACCGCCGGGCGTCATCCTGACTGACTGTCAGCTGGAGTCCCACTGCCAACCCACGTCCCAACACTGACCCACATCCAAAGCCTCTCGATGCCCATCAATGCCACAAACAAGAAGTGAGGATCTCTGCATCCCTCGTGTTTGGCGCGCCGTGGAAAAGCCGTGGTCCTTCCTACGTGTGCTGGAGCTCTGGGCTATTCTGCATCCAAACGTCTCTGCTGGGAGAAGGAAGGGACTTGCTGGGAAACGCCAGCATTGCTCGGAGCACAGAGCAGTTCTGGATGTGCTCATGGTAGACACGTTCTATGGGAATTGCTGACGGAAGCCTTTTTGTCAAATTTCCCCTCATGTTTTTGATGACCCTGCTATTTTAGGAGATTTTAATACCGATAAACTCCCAGCTCTTCAGGCACCCCGGGCTCATCTGAGCTATAAATGCAACCTGTAGCTTAGAGAGCCTTTCAAACAACCAAGAGCTGCTATGAGTACAGCCTGGGGTAAACGGTGTTTCTTAGGCACATTGATGAAAGCTAATGATTAAATCCCTTTAGACTCCAGGAACAAGTAACAATTAACAACTGCTCTCCAGCCACCGTCCCATCTGGGAGAGGTGGAGGCTTCAGGCACAGTGCCCATTCACGTGTCCTACAGGAGCTTTTCCAGCACTGCCCCAATGATGTTGCAGAGGCGGCACAGTGCAGCTCCTGTCTCAGCCCTCCCTGCCTTCCTCTGAGTTTATTTTTCCTGGGGTTAGTTTGCTACCTACCTCCCGAAGCTCACTTTACAGAATTGTAATGCTGGGTAATAAAAATATATGGGGCCGGATTCTTTGCTGGCGTGAATGAGTCAGTGATGACGCACCAACGGTCAACAGGGGTGGAAAAACGGTCCGTTAAGCTAAATATACAAAATATGTATATATGTATTCCCCAAAGGATAAGCTGGAAGTCATAGTGATGTATTCAAAGGGAGCCAAGGGAAAAAAAAAAAACGAATGTGAAAAACAGGCAGGCATAAAGCCAGGAGGTTTAGAGTTTAGCCACGTTTACATAAACACCGCGGCTCCAATGGCTCCTGTTGCTGGTGAGTGGGTGTTCTTTGCACACAGAGCTGCCCGTCCCCAGCAAACAGCCACTGCTTTCAGCCCTCAAATGGGGCCGAACGATCTGAATGCAGCAATCCAGCCGCAGGACAGGGCAGGAATGTTAGCATGGCACTGGGATGTGCCTGAAACCGCTCCTACTCCTCCTCTGCTCCTCCTGAACCACTGGGAAAGGGTGTAGGGCTTCCAGTGCTGCATCTCTGGATGGAAACATCGTGGCCTTCAGGAATGCTGCCCAGATGGAATTCACTCCCTGTGTCCTGAGCTCCTACCTGAGCTCCTACCTCGGAAATGCTGTGGTTCACTCGGCCAGCCTCCTGCAAAATGCCCTGCACGAGGCGGTAGCGGTGACACTGCGAGCATCGGGGCTGCTTGGTTACAGCGGGGTCAGCAGTGCCTTGCTGGATTAGAAGTCTGGAGACGTGCAGCAGCAACGTGCTGGGAGGAAGAGGAAGGTAACCCTGATCTGCACTGCACGTCTGTGGGAAGAGATCTGGCACGTGGGCTGTGTCCGAGCCCCAGATGTCATTTATTCAGGCGAAAGCCCTACCTTTTGCTGCAAGGAGTTTTGCCAGAGTAAATAGAGTGGATCTGGTCCTTTGCCCCGTTTCATTTGGCTGTGGGTGGATGGATGGCTCCCGGGGGGAACGGTGCGCTCCAGCCATGATCCCTCCCTTCCCTGTGTTGCCCAAACCAAAGCTGTGAGATTCCTCTCCTTGCAGCTTTCAGCTGGTTCCTTGGAATCCGGTGCTTTTCCTTTTCCATCCCTGCAGCCCCAGGGGAGCAGCACTGGGAGCCTGGGCTCTGCTTCTGCTGCTTCCCACAGCCAGGGCATCGCTCCATTGCTCCTGCCCTATAGCTGGGTGCTGGCGTGCAGCTCACAGAGGGGTTTGGAGGGCTCCTATAATGTGTTACAAACCCTCTCCTTCCTGCTGCTTCACATCCAGGCTGGAAGTGCTAGAAATCCTCATGGTTTAGGGCATAAAGCAAACTCTGACTGACGTAAGACAGGGGTTCCCACCCCCTGGTGTTGGATCAGAGTTTGCTCTGTGTTGCCAATAATTTGGGTTGTACTGGAATGATTAGGAAACGTATGTTATGCCAGCCCTGGATCTCTGATTTTTTTGCTGTGAGCACTGTGCGTGGTGAGTTTAGATAGGCAGCACTTTGCAATTTCAATGGCCTTTCCATGCTCCTTCGAGTTATTTTTTTTGTTGTCACAGAGTGTTCCTCTTTTTAATTAGATTTTTTTAAATATACAGTTACTGAGAATCTCTTACAGTGTGTGAAGAAGTGTTCAAGGCCAGGTTGGATGGGGCCCTGGGCAGCCTGGTTTGATATTAAACGGGGAGGTTGGTGGCCCTGCCTGTGGCAGGGGGTTGGAGATTCGTGATCCTTGAGGTCCCTTTCAACTCGTGCCATTCTGTGATTCTGTGACAGAGACTCTGATTTGCCATTAAATGTTAACACAAACATAGCTGTGGGTTGTCATTCCTTTAAATACCAAACCACTGCCGTTGTCCCGTTATCCTTTGCTTGTTTTTTTTTCTGTGTCTGTGCATCCGGCAAAAAATAACAGAGGTTTTATTTTCCAAGTGTGTCTGCAGGGTTTGTGCCAAGCACACATTTTTTCTATCGCTCGACTACAAAAGAAGCGGAAGAATCCTGGAATCCAACAGCAATATTGACAGTGCTGGGCAGTTCCAAACAATGAATTGTCTCAGCTCTCTCTGTCTCTCTTCTGCTTCTGTCCTTGACTTTGAAAGAGCAAAGTTGAACAGATGAGACGTTTTTTTCCTTTGCATTTTAATCTGTGTACATTTCCACGAAACAGGGAGTTCTGGAGCTTCCCATGCACGCCAGCACTTCTTAACATGGAGACAGAGCTTCTTAATACCAGATGTCAGCTGGGGCTATGAGAAGAGCATTATCAGGCACTGTTAGCTCATGAGAAGTGGCTGGGAGCACTGGGGGAAGCTGTGTGGATGCGTGCTACTGACTTTAATAGGAGAGGAATTGGGGCTTTCTGTTAGGAGCATTTCTTAAAAGGGAAACTTACAACTTATTAAAATAGCGGATATGAAAGGCACAAACTTGTGCTGTTCTTGCCAAGGGCTGCACACATTATGTCACTGAGCTTATTTAAATCTGGTTTCCATTATGGAGCTTTTCTGTTTCCCCACTGCCTCTGGGGATTTGCAAGCACTAAGGTGGGGCTGGGCTGCAAACCCTGCAGAGAAAGCTCAAATCCATCTAAAAAGATGTAATTTAGGCTAATATCAGCTCTTAATACATATTCATGCATTATGCTGCTCAGAGTCCTTCAAAACATTTAATTTTGCAGTAGTTTCAATGAAATTATGCAAGCGTTATTATTGTTTTAGGAGTCAACTCCAGTTGGAAGCAGTGGGTTATACCCAAACTGTAGCTGTGCCAACACCACAGATATTTTCCTGTCCCCAGATTTCTTCTTGCCCATGAGAGGAGACAGATTTCTGTCTTGTCTATGGGGTGACTTTTTAGTCCCTCCAGTTTAACCCTCAGAGGGGTAATTGTAGGAACCCACAGCACAGCGCACACCCAAGATTGGGCTCAGGTGTCTGGGGCACAAAATGGGCTTTGAGCATGAATTTAGGAAGCCTGGAAACTGAGGGAGAACCTTTGCTGTTAAAGGGGTTGAGCCTCAGTTGATGTGTAGTACCGCCAGATTCATGGGATTTTTACTCTGAGCGCTGAAAATGTGCAAACTGCAGCAAAATAAAACATCTTGGAAGGGGAAATAAAAGGAATTGGAATGCAGTCAGGGCACGGGGCAAACTCCTCGTGCTTTCTTTGTGAGCACTGTGGTGCCACCTAAAATAGGAAGCTGGGGGAAGCGCTGCCAAGTCACGCAGACTGCAAATAACTGAAATCATTTTATTATATATGGTCAAAGGGCTGCATAATTGGGTGACTGATGGGTCGGTAAACAGGTTCTCCCAAAAAGGAGGCTGGCACTTTGGGTTACGTACAGAAATGTTAATACAATCTCCGCAGCTGGCTTCAGCTCAGTGAATTAATAGTGATATTAATTGCAGAGGAGGCGGCACTGCTCCTCAGGGATGGCAGACGAGGCTGAGTGAAGCAGTGAGACACGATTCGGGGCAGAGAACAGCCCTCAAAAAGCTCCCTCGGATGGCTGTTGAACGAGAGGACTACAACTCCCGGCATGCCCCGGGACCACCAGCTCCAGGGACTACAAGTCCCAGCGTGCACCGCGCGCAGCGGCCCGCCCCGTCCGCCTCTCCTCCGCGCAAGCGCAGAGCGGGCCCGGCGCAGCGAGGGGGCGGCAGCGGCCATGGCGCTGAACAGGAACCACTCGGAGGGCGGCGGCGTCATCGTTAACAACAGCGAGAGGTGAGGCGGCGAGGGGCCGCGCTCCTCTTCTCTCTCCTTCTCCAAGCCCCTTTCCGTCGAAGAATGCCGAGGAGCGGCCTTCTTCTGGCTCCCCTCGGCGGGTCACGTGATCTGAGGGGCTCCTCGCCCGCCCCCCCGCCATGTTGGGGGTTAACCCTTGGTGTGCCGGCGCGGTTGGCTCAGTGCCGTCCCCATAGGCCCTGCTTGGCTCTCCCTCCTTGCTCCCAGGTGGGGCCCAGGTCCCAGCCAGGTGCCCCGCTGGGTTCTGTGCCAGGAACGGCTGGCCTTGAGCCCCGTTTGGGTCACAGGGTGGCAAGAGCTCAGCCCTGCTGTGTGTTCAGCAAATGGCGATGCTGGAAAAAGGTGCTGGGCCACAGCCGTGGGAACAGCGAGCACACAGCGCTGCCTCTGCCTGCCTGCCTGGCAGTGGGCTGCGTTGCCTGCCTGGCAGTGGGCTGTGTTGGCTGCCTGTCTGGCAGTGTGCCTCGCTGCATGCCTTGCTCCTGACGTGGTGGTCACCTGCCTTGGGGACAAAAGGGCTTCTTTCCTCAAGGCCAGCGGAGATTGGGTGTAGGAGTTGTGTGTCTGGCTTCCATTTGGGATGGGAATCATTGTGAAATGGAATCAACTCCAGTTGGTGGCTTAAACTCGTGTTCAGTGAAACCAGCACTTGCAGTTGCTCGGTGCGGTGCTGCTCCCAGCTGTCATCCCCTTGGATCAGAGGTTGCTGCTGTATGAGCATACAGGCAAGCTGCTGCAGCCCAGGCTGCTTGTGTTGCTTGATTCAGAGTGAGCAGAGCCTCTGTGCCCTTCTGTAGCTTTGCTGCAGGGCCAAGTGCTTCCTGGCAGAAGGGAGAGGAGAATGAATGACTGAGGATGGTGATAGGCATGAATGTGCTGTGCCCCTCTGCTGTTAGGGATTGGTGTACCTGACATGGATGCTGTCATGTTAAGACAATACCACCTGCATCCGTATGGATATATTGCATTGGTCTTAATCTGGTTGGTTTCTAATTGAGGCTTAAGGAGTCAGTGCAGGGACTCAGGGCTATAGAAGTCAAGTGATGAGAGGAGGGATCCAGATCACATTTTAGTGACTGAGGTGCATTCTTGTGACCTTTGGTAGCCTCATTACATAACCCAGCCTGAGGGGTTCCTGCTACAGCAGCCCTTTTTCTGTCGTGTTGCTTGTGGTGAACCAATTTAGGGAAATGATCCAGCAGAAATTCAACATAATGTGAGAAATTTATTCAGAACTTGTTGAGTTTAATTGACTAGATTCACTGCCAAGCTGTGCAAATAGCAGTAGCTGTGTCAGCACACTGGAGAAGGAACACTAGGCTGAGAACAAGCAGTCAGTACTACTGAAGTTACTGCAAGCAGCAAAATGAAAAAGTGCAAGAGGGCAAGGCAGAGCGATCTGCTGAGTGCTGGCCTGAGGTTAAGCCAGTTTTGGTAGGTCAGTAAACTCTGCATGTTTCACTTTTGCCCTAAGCTGTGACATTGAGCATTTTCTCATCTCGTTTGCAGTGTTCTGATGACCTATGATCACGTAGAAATGGCCTTCAGTGAGATCGAACCGATGCCAGAGGCTTTCAAAGGGACCAAGAAAGGGAGTGTTTTCTTGACTCCCTACCGAGTAAGTAGTAGGAGGCTGTAGGAGATGAGAGCTCCTCATCGTTCTGTGCTTCTACACATCCGCTCTCCAGTGCATAAACGTCTGGATAACGTTCTGCTCCTTGAATTATGGCCCCTCCTGTCCTTGTGGGGAGCTCTATGGCTTCATTGCATAGTCTGTCTATTTGTCATAAGATAATAAATCTGATTAGTTCTTACCTAGGCAGCTGTTCAGTCCACCAGGCATCTTCAAGATTGAAAATAAGTGGTGGTCTGGAAATGCTGAATGCAACAGTTCAGCTACTGAATCACAGCTGTGTGGAGCTGTGAGTTCTGTAGGAACTGGGGGACTCTTATCTGAGCAAGTGTGATCTTTCTGGAAGGCTTTATTGCCTTGGGGCATCACTTTACCCTTGTGACGGTTCTGAGAAACTTGGGGCTTGCAGAAGTTTCAAGGATCTTTGAGTGTGGGAGGCATTTCAGTCCACAAATCTCTCTCAGATAATGAACTGGAGCAGCGTTTCCTGTTTATTTTAAACGTCCTTTGTAATGTTGTTTCCTTTTCAGGTTATCTTTGTATCGAAGGGGAAGGATGCTCTGCAGTCTTTTGGGATGGCCTTTTATTTGTTGAAAGACTGTGAGATTAAGCAGCCTGTCTTTGGAGCAAATTATATCAAGGGTACAGTGAAAGCAGAGGCAGGAGGTATGTATGGCACTGATACCAAGCTGATACCAAGCTGAACTAAGATGCAGAACTTTTGTAGTTCGTAGTAAAGTAATTATTCTGTGTAATGTAAAGTGGATGCTGAATGCAGGGGTTCTTGCAGTACTGCTAAAATGTGGTTTTTCTCTTTGAATCCAGCAGCTAAAAATATTCCCCCCGTCTGCTCTGTACAGTTACAGTGAACAGATTAGCTGTGTGACTGATCCCATTCCTGCCCTCTGTACTGAGTTCAGTCAGCCAAGTGATCTCACTGGGTAAACATCAGACAGGGAGCAGGCTGTGGCAGCGGCACTGAGGGCGTCGCCTGGCCTTGGTCAGTTGAGCTTCTGCCTTAATTATGCCTCCAGATCCTTCTGTGCCAAACACTCGTGGTCTGTTCTGGTTCTGTATGGATTTTAAGGTTCAAATCTCTGACATCTGTTTCTTGTGCAGTTTAGGAAAAGCGTTGCTGTATTGTTTGGAAAATAGTGGATTACCTTGAGCTTAGGGAATCTTGGAGGGCAGCTTCATAATGTTTAATGAGAAGGTTGTGGTAAACTTTTTTTTTTCAATAAGAAGATACTTTTATCACTGTTCCATGCTTCTACTTTTTACAAAGGCACTTATTTCATCCAGAGCCTGATTTATTCCCTTACTTGTGGCACTGCAATGCAGTGCAATGTTCAGAGGACTTCAGCCTATTACCCTGAAATCAACCTTGTAGCTTCTGTATGGGAGCAAAACAGGACC